CAGGGAGGGAGGGAAGGAGGAGGGGGTGGGGAGGGAGGTGCAGATTTGCACGGCTGGCCTCAGCGGGAGGCGCGGAAATGCAAGCCGAGCATGCTGGCGTGAAAGCCCCCAGGGCCTGGCACCCCCAAAAACGACCTCCCACCTCAATCCCTGCCCCCCATTGCCCATGGCCCCCACGGGCTACCCCTCTTCCTCTTCCTTCATCCACCCTACCCCACTACCTACGTGGCCAACCCAAATTCAAAGCATTTTGAATGTATATAATTTTTTCTTTTCTGCTACGTCTTTTGGGGTGGGGGGGAATCCTCTTCAGACCCCCATAAACGGACCTGCCATTTGGAGGAGGTATCTGGGGGCTCAGGAAGAAATTAGCGCACCTTCATACCTGTACGGACTGCATAACTTTTAAACTCCCGGACTCAAAGAGAAGGATCCACAAACACACAGGTACAGGAAATACAGCCAGACCAGAGCCTTTTCAGACCCGAGCTGACCGGAAGACGTTGCCTTTCATTCATTCATTCTGCCCGCGTCTGTGGAGTCCTTTACTAGGCGACAAGCGCTGGAACAGAAGTTGGACATTTTTTAGAGGTCCCTGCGCTCGCCAGGAGGAGGAAATAGATGCTCAGGAGTGAACTACCGAGAGAATCGGATCTGGCGCCTCCTAACGCAGCTGGCAAACAGGCGAAGGGTAAGCCCTTATTGGCGGTTTATAAAAGAAAAGTCGGTAGAAAGGTGCAAGGCGCTGAGATGGGGCGCAGGGAACTTTGGGTGCCCCATAATTAATCCTACAGCGCTTCTTGGAGGAGGTATAGGCTCCCTCTATACATATATGGGGCATCATTAGATCTGGGTAAACTTCCCTGTCCACATACTTAGTTCACAGTGACCACCCCCAAACCTGGAATCTTAAATGTGTTGTCCTTTAAGTCCGTCATGAGCAACAGTCAGATCGACTTTGGATATGAGAAAAGCTGGCCCTAAACATTCTTCCAGCCCAACCAGGCCTGATCTTGGGGGTAAAGATCACAATGAAATGACATGGAACCAGGGTACAAGTAAGGAAGTTAAAACTGCTCACAGCAGGCTTTGAAAAAAAAAAAGCAACTTCCCATACTTTTAATTTTATTCTTGTCATGAAGCCTGTGGTCTAATTGGAGCAGAATATTTTGCAGATGGGAAACTGAGGCTCAGAGAAGTTTTGAATCTGGGCTATTGCTCTGCCCTCATATCCTCCCCATGTCAACACTGATCAGACAGATAAGCAGAGAGGAAGTGGCTTCCCCGTCAGAGATCAGATGTGAACCATCAGCTCAGTATTTATTGGTCACCTTAAGAGACAGCTTCCCCCTCATTCACCTTAAAGTTTCCTGTTCTATCTTTCTGTATTCTTTTCCACCCACCTTCCAGAGACTACGCTTTGAAGCTTGTTTTAACCCAAGTCCACTAGCTGGCAGACATCAAAATTTTTTCCAAATTGAAATTGCCCAACTTGGCTTAATGGGAGTGAAAAGAGTTTTGCCTTCAGCCTCTGTCAAGAACTAGGGACCATTTTATTGCTTCTTTCTCACAGGAACCCTTTAAGGGAAATAGTCTTGTTATTCCTCATGTTGCAAATAAGGAAACTGCAACTCAGAAAGGGAAAGCCAATCCCCAAGATCACACAGCTTGTAAGTGGGGTTGCTGGGACTCAAACTAGAGCCTGGCTCTGCCGTCACATCTTTCTTTTTTTTTTTTTTGGATATTGACAATCTTCATTGCTCCCACCTTATGAAATAAACATGTTCAAAGGAGGGTGCAATGGCCTGGGATGTCCTGAGTGAAGTGCAATAAAGCAAAATGGTGAAACAAAACACTTGGTCTTAATCCTTCTTTCCACCCAGAGACCCTTCTGTCTCCCCATGTGGTCTCATGGTGTCCCCAAAAGCTGGTGTCAGGAAGAGACCCCATGGCAGATGCCCTAGTGTAAAAACAGTTAAGTCCATATATCACCCCAATGGGGAGTTCCTGGCCTGTCAGGGTGGGAAGGGGTTGAGTAGTCACCTAATTTAATCCCCTCCCTTTACAAACCGCCAGGAAACCACAGACCAGAGAAAAGAATGGGCCAGCCAGGGGCTTGTTCCCCTTTGCCGCCCCCAGAATGCCTGCCCTGCTGCCTGGCCCTAAGTGGTCACTCAATAACTGTTGGGCCCTTGATGGATCACCCTCCCCAACGATATTTGCATTTTCCCTTTATCAGTAATTGGCAGATGAAAGGCTTTGTCCTCCTGTTGAAAGAATTCCAGGCATTTGCTCAAAGTGGGGGAGGAGGTTATTTTGGGCCAAAGGGGGAAGGGCCAAGACCCTTGAGCTCCTTCCTTGGCTAATTGTCCCAGAGGAGTGGACAGTAGGTGAGAGAAGGGAGCGAAGCTTAAGGAGAGGTATTTTTTTCTTGCGGGGGGGGGGGGGGAAGACCAGGCCAGTTGTATTTGAAACATAGTAATAATGACTTCCTGGACCCTCCTGCTCATTCTTACAAAAGGCCCAGTCAGATCCTGGCTGTGTTGGCCCCATTCATTCATTTCTTCATTCATCAAAGGTTGATTGAGCAGCTCTGTGCTCTAAAGACTGAGAGGATAGAAGAACCAGCTCCGGACGGTAGACTTACTCCAGGCTGCGCAGGGAGAGGGCCGCCAGCTCCCCGAGCAAGTTAGGAAGGGGTGATGCTGGATGGAACCCTCAGAATCCAGGATTTCTGAGCTGTAGGAAACTGAAGCTGTGGTAGTCATGTATAATTATACCAGCTCCTGATTTTTGAAAGCTTACTGTGCCTTTGAGCAAAGCCTCTCACATTTGCTAGCTCTGTGAATCTTCACCGAAGTTCTGTGACTTTGGGGTCTGTAATTGCCCATTTTTATGTCTGAGGCTCAAAGAGAGGTCAAGCTACTTGCCCATGTTTTAAAGCTGTGAAATAGCAAAGACAGGATTTGAACCCAGGGCTTGGAGGAATCCAGAGTCCACAGGCTTTACCATTTATTTACTATTCTTCCCTGCAGGGCTGTCCCCTAGAACTTGATGGAAATGTTCTATGTTTGTGCTGTCTAACATAGTTTCTAGCCACATGTGGCTAATTGAGCACTTGAAATGTGGGTAGTGAGATGTAGGAACTGAATGTTGAATTTTATTTACTTTTAATTAAATTTAAATAACTGTATGTAGCTAGTGTCTACCTTATTGGACAGTGCAACCTTAAGAGTGTTTTCCAGAATTTGTCTTAATTCACCGACCAGGCCATATATATTATACCCCACGGTCTGATTTGGCACTGGGTCCCCAGAATCAACCTTCTGGGAACGTTTGTGGAATGGATGAAGAATCCCCAAGAAAATGAAGTATTAGAATGATGTGGGGGAGGGGCCAGGGTATCTGCAGTTTTTCTAGAAAGGGCCATCTGGTGCAATGTGAATGCTTGAAGTGTTAGCCTTTAAACCACCCTCTCTGTGCGCCTGCCAAGAGCGTGGCACTGTAGGCACCTGGGGATGCCAGTTGGATATAAGATTGTCCCACCTTCCTAGATCTGACAGATTTCTCAAGGACAGGTCATTGGTGATGGGGCAGAAAGCCTTAGAAGTGGATAACCACTTCCTGATATATATCCTACCTTCAGACTCAAACGCAAAGACGCAATCCATTCTGGCCCTGTTTGCGGTAGAAAAAGACTGAAAATGATCTTAAAGTTGGGGAACTGATTAATTCTTGGACCATTTGTCTGCCCCATGAAATGCTGTCAAATCATTAAAAAGAGTAAGGTAGCTCTATGTATTACTAATGTAAAATGACTTCATGATATCCTTAAATTACAACAAAACACAGCACAGAATACTAATACTAAATTGTGATGACCACTTATGTAAACCAAAGGGGATATATCTTTAACTACATTTTTTTTTTATGCACAGAATTTTCTTGAGAAAGAAATACAGTTTAAAAATGGGGAAAGGAACTGGGAAAAGAAAACTTTTCCTTGGCACAGTGTGAAGTGTTTACCATATGTGTGCAATAGTGTTGCCTGATTTTGAACCTTATCCACTTAACTTCATTTTATATGCTGTAGTACCTTTTGAATTTTATAGTATGTAGATGTATTATCTACTGAAAAATGAATTTCATTTTATTTGTGTTTTTTTCCTATAAGGTTCAAAATCAGGCAAATCTAAACCAAATAAACATAGTTTAGTTCTACATACATAAGTGGTAAGGCTTAAATAAAAGCAAAGGAATGATCAAAACAAATGCAGGAACAGAAGAAACTAGACTCTGGAGCCAGGAATATGAACAGTGAGAGGTCCTGGTGATTTCCTTGTTTCTTAATCTAGAAGGTGGGCACCTAAGTATAATTCTTTAAGTGTACTTAAATGTTTTATAAATTCTGCTGTATTTATGAAATGTCCCA